CCGGGCACCTAAAAGGGTTTGGAGGAAACGGGGATGGGGGGGTGCAAACACTGCAGGAAGCACTGAACCTGCAGGAGTGACTCAGCCACGGTGTGGGTGGTGGGGATGGGGTGGCTGGGCTCTCCCGGCTTCCCTGGGGACCTCCTGGCTCCCCGTGGAAACCTCCCAGCTCCTGTGGGATTCACAGCACCCACCTGCCCCATCCCACTTGGCTTCCTCTCCTGCCGGGGCTCTTGGAGGTCTCAGGGTCCTGCACACGCTGGGAAACACTGTGGGAAGCAACCCCTGAATCCACGCTGCTCTCCCAAAAATGCACATCCCACAAAAGTGATGTATCCCCCCTAGAAATGAAGCCCTCCCCAAAAAATGATGCCCTGCCCCAAAACCAGCCACGCTGGATTTAGCACCTGTACTGCTGGGCTGGGCAGGAGGAGCAAAACCGCTGTCACCAACAACTTTTTCCATGGCTTTGGACCAGATTCCAAGAGTCTGCACTGGGAATGGGTCCGTGCATCATCCTGGACATGGAAGTCGGTGCTGGAATATAGGCATGGATGCCTAGGGGGTGGCAGGGAGCAGCCAGAGACACGTCCATCCCCAGCAGGGACACAACTGTTTTCCTCTTGGACGCACAGATTCTATCCAGAGGGGAGTTAATCCCCTGCTCCAAGGCTCTGGGGCCAGGATTCTGCTGACGTGGAGCTGGAGGCAGGATGGGAGGCCGAGCAGAGTGGGAAGAGTAGTCACTGGGAAGAGAAGCAGCTGGTTCCTGGCCCACAGAGGGGAACAGAAATGCCGGTGAGCCGGTGGCTGCCACGCGCCCGGGACTGCACTGGAGCGGAGCAGAGACGGATGAGTCAGAGGTTTCGGGCACAATGGGAAGTGTGGGCTCAGCAGGGATGGGGACATGCAGGGACAGGGACACGCCAGGATGGGGACGTGCCGGGATGGGGCCTCAAGGCTGCCCTGAGCAACCCTCCTCCAGGGCAGGGTGAGGAACAGTGGGGAGAAACGTGGCTTTTTTGCTGCCTGGTCGCCAGGAGAGGAAGGAAAAGGGTGAACTCCCGGCAGTGTGCAGGGAGAGGGCCCTGCCACGTGTCCTGCCGGCAGCCGGGCAGGGGGATGTCCTGCACTCCTCAGCCGGCCCTGGCAGGGTACCAGGAACCACATCCCAGCTCAGCCAGAGCCGTCTCCAGCCCAGCTGCTTCCCCAAGGCCACTTCCCTCCCGCCCACTGCTGCCTCCTCACTTCCGCAGCCTTTTCCTTTTTATAACTAATCCCCAAAACCAAACCCAGAAGAGCAAGAGGAATAAAAAAAGTGCCCACGGCAAAGCAGGAGCTCTGTTCTGCCACCTGATCCGAGTCACCCCGACAAGGCCTCGGCTGCCCCCACATTCCACATGGGAGCTCGTGAGGGCAGAAATAATGGGCACAAGTAATTACAGGCCTGAAGATGGAGGTGCTGCTTGTGGGCCATGTGTTCCCACAGGGATGGGAGAAACCTCCAGTGGCAAACCTGGGGTGGACTCAGATGTCCAGTGGGAGACATCCTCCAAAAATGTCTCCAAAGGTCAAAGACAGAGTTTCAACCACCTTTCTTCCTTCTCCTTCCCACAGGATGGTGGTTGGGAGAACTTGAGCCTCAAGAGGCCACTGATCTTGGACACAAGCCTGGAACACCATCACCCTGGAGGTCCCAGGTCACTCCCTGGGGTTGGGAGCACCCAAACACTTGGGCTCAGGGCTGGAAACCAGGGCTGTGGTTGCCCAGCGGTGCTGCACAAACCCCACAGTTTGCATGGCCCCAGAAAATTAAATTTCTCTTTCAGGATGTGAAAGGAGACCACGAGACTGAGGTCCCACAGCTTCCCCCCCAGGATGAGAGCAGCAAGCTGATCAAACTGACAGTTTGGGGAGGCAGAGGGAGGTGAAGGTTGGGATCCCACACGCCTCTCATGGGACTGTGCCTGCAATGCCATCGAGGAGCGTCCCTATTCCCCACCTCAGGCTGCCCAAATGCCTGGGGTTTGAAATCACAGAATCCCAGAATGGTTTGGGTTGAAAAG